ATACAGAGAAGATTAGCATGGCCCCTGCGAAAGGATGACACGCAAATCCGTGAAGCGCTCCATATTTTTGCAGCTGTGATCAAGCCTGCTTCACTGGACTTGATTCATACCTTCCTGCCACTATTTATTTTCATTCTTGATCTCTTGTGTCAAGAACTGGTGCATCTCCAATGTCTATAGGGCACTCTCATTTTTCCAGCAAAGTGTGTCCACTCCCTTTCTTCAGCAGATGCCAACAGGGTTCGACCCCATACATATGCCTCAAATGAGGCTGTGTTTGTTGCTTGTTAAGGCAGCGCCTATGCTGAAAGTAGACCGATTCAGAGAAAAAAATCAAAGAATAAATCAAAGGAAAAAATCTGTGGAGTCCTTCACGGTTTTGTTTCTGTCGCATGGCCGAGGGCCTCTGCCTAAAGGTCTCCAGAGGATTAACTCATCCTGCTGCGATAGATCGTGTCCAGTTACATCGAGTGCATGGAACCTTGGCACAGACAGCAAAGCATTTTCCTGTTTTCCACTTTCCGCCAACTCATTTCTTTCTCGAAAACCTGGAGGACACAGCCCATTCAGAGCTTGTATTTTGGTACCATCGATAAGTCTGCCCACCCCATTCTTTCAGTAGATGGCTCGCTGGGCCCTACCACCTTGGTGATAGCTCGCTGGAACCCGAGGTGTACATATGCCTTGGGCGGGCCGCCAGGATCGTGCTTGCTAAGGCAGCACATATACTAAAATTGGATCGATACAGAGAAGATTAGCATGGCCCCTGCGAAAGGATGACACGCAAATCAGTGAAGCGCTCCATATTTTTGCAGCTGTGATCAAGCCTGCTTCACTGGACTTGATTCATACCTTCCTGCCACTATTTATTTTCATTCTTGATCTCTTGTGTCAAGAACTGGTGCATCTCCAATGTCTATAGGGCACTCTCATTTTTCCAGCAAAGTGTGTCCACTCCGCAACACAGCGCCTGAGGCAACGATCATCGTGTCTGGACCGCTTCCCACGTACCGACTAGGACAAGAAAGGTTCAGTAGACTATTTGCACTAAATGAATGGTTAATGTCACTGTGTAATGAACAGAAACTGCTCTTTGTAAATAATTGGAATCTGTTTTGGGAGCGACCCAGGCTGTACCGTGCTGATGGCCTGCACCCCAGCAGAGCCGGAGCGGCTGTTCTGTCGGATAATATCTCCAAGACGTTACGCACCAGATGACTAATAAGTCAAAATCCAAATCACAGTCTTTGCTGTCCAAACTTAATTGATATACGTAGTGAAGAACATTATATAGAAACTGTGTCTATTCCTCGTTTAGTGAAGCCAAACAATAAATCTAGTGCAGGATCTAGCAAAAATCTTATTGTAATTAAACCAGAAAATCTAAATATCAGTGAACAAAAAGAATTTCTAAAGCAAGGTCTTCTAAACATTAGATCGCTCACACCTAAAGCGGTTATTGTAAATGAAATGGTCACAGATAATAATTTCGATATACTTTGCCTTACTGAAACCTGGCTTAAACCAAATGAGTATTTCGGTCTAAATGAGTCTACTCCGCCAAGATACTGTTATAAGCATGAGCCCCGTCTGACTGGTCGTGGCGGCGGTGTTGCAACAATCTATAAAGATATTCTTAATATTTCTCAGAAAACAGGTCACAGATTTAATTCGTTTGAAGTACTTATGCTAAATGTTACGCTCTTAGATGTAAGAAAGAAATCCATATTATCTCTAGCCTTGGCTACTGTATATAGACCTCCAGGGCCATATGCTGAATTTCTAAAAGAGTTTGCAGACTTTCTCTCGGATCTATTGGTCAATGTCGATAAAGCAATAATTGTTGGAGATTTTAACATACACGTAGACAACAAAAATGATGCCTTAGGGGCTGCGTTTACAGATTTATTAAACTCCTTTGGGGTCAAGCAAAACGTCCGTGGTCCCACTCATCGTCTAAATCATACACTAGATTTAATTATATCATATGGAACCAATCCAACTGATATAGATATTATACCGCAAAGTGATGATGTCACTGATCATTACATGGTAACGTGCATAATACGTACTGCTGAAATATGTCATGTTGCGCCACGTTATAGACCAGGCAGAACAATCCTTCCAACCACTATAGATAGATTCTCAAATAGCTTACCTGATCTATCTCAGCTGCTCAGTGAACCCAAACAAACAGATGAACTAGAGGAAATGACTAGCAGTTTGAGCACCATTTTCACTAGTACATTAGATATTGTTGCACCAATTAGATTAAAAAAGGTTAAAGAGAAAACTAAAGCACCATGGTACAACAGTGTTACGCATGATATCAAGAGAGAAACTCGTAACCTAGAGCGTAAATGGAAACAAACTAATTTAGAGGTCTTTAGAATCGCGTGGAAAGACAGTATGTCACGTTATAAAAAGGCTCTAAAAACAGCCAGGGCTGAGCACCTCCGCAAACTAATAGAAAATAACCAAAATAATCCAAGGTTCTTATTTAACACCGTGGCTAGACTAACAAATAAACAGACATCACCAGAGCAAAATATACCGTTACAGTTTAGTAGTAATGATTTTATGAATTATTTCAATGAGAAAATAGAAAGCATTCGAAACACAATTATAAATGTACAATCCTCTATGGTCTCTTATGATTCAGCCTCAATTATCGTCCCTCAAGAACAACTACACCGCTTTGCAACGATAGGACAGGAAGAGCTAAATAAACTTATTATTGCATCTAAACCAACAACATGCTCATTAGATCCAATACCCACTAAACTACTGAAAGAAGTGTTACCTGTAGTGGAAGAGCCTCTTCTTAATATTATTAACTCGTCTTTATTCTTAGGTCATGTTCCAAGAATATTCAAGTTGGCAGTAATAAAACCTCTCATTAAGAAACCGCAACTAGATCCAAATAACCTAGCAAATTACAGACCCATTTCAAATCTTCCATTTATGTCCAAAATACTAGAAAAAGTTGTATCCGCTCAACTGTGCTCTTTTTTGCAAGAAAATGATATCTATGAAAAATTCCAGTCAGGATTCAGACCGCATCATAGTACAGAAACTGCGCTAGTTAAAATTACAAATGATCTACTCTTAGCTTCTGACCAAGGCTGTATCTCAATACTAGTCCTACTTGATCTTAGCGCCGCGTTCGACACTATAGATCATAAAATACTCTTGGATCGACTACAAAACTACACTGGTGTTCAGGGACAGGCATTAAGCTGGTTTAGATCGTACTTATCTGACCGTTATCATTTTGTCTCTTTACACGGGGGAAAATCAAAGTTAACGTCAGTAGACTACGGAGTACCGCAAGGATCGGTGCTAGGCCCTCTGCTATTCTCAATATATATGCTGCCACTTGGTAATATTATAAGAAAACATGGAATTAATTTCCACTGTTATGCTGACGACACTCAATTATATATTTCATCACGACCAGATGAAAACATTACCTCATCTAAATTGACAGAATGTCTCAAAGATATAAAATGCTGGATGACGCGTAATTTCCTGCTATTAAATTCAGATAAAACGGAGGTATTACTTATTGGTCCAAAAAACTACACACAAAACCTCTTACAATACGACTTTAATATAGAAGGATGCCCTGTTACTTTTTCCACTACAGTAAAAGACCTGGGTGTTATACTAGACCGCAACTTGTCTTTCGAAAATCATATTTCATCTGTTACAAGAACAGCCTTTTTCCACCTTAGAAACATTGCTAAATTACGTAACATGCTATCTGTTTCTGATGCAGAAAAGTTAGTTCATGCATTCATGACCTCGAGACTAGATTACTGTAATGCTTTATTAGCTGGTTGTCCTGCATCCTCAATAAACAAGCTACAGTTAGTGCAAAATGCAGCCGCTAGAGTTCTTACTAGATCAAGAAAATATGATCATATAAGACCGATTTTATCATCTCTGCACTGGTTACCTATTAAGTTCCGTATCAATTACAAAGTACTACTACTGACCTATAAAGCCCTTAATGGTTTAGCTCCTATGTACTTAACGGACCTTCTTTCGCCCTACAATCCACCGCGTTCTCTAAGATCACTAAATTCAAGGCTTCTGGTCATTCCTAGGATATCGAAGTCCACGAAAGGAGGGAGGGCATTCTCGCATTTAGCTCCAAAACTCTGGAATAGCCTTCCCGATACGGTCCGATGCTCTGACTCGCTGACACAGTTTAAAACTAGACTAAAGACGTGTCTCTTTAGTCAAGCATTCACATAATGCTTACCTTTTAGTCCTCTGCTATGCCATACGGAACCGTTTGCCACTGAAACTGCTTAACGCACCAGTGGGGCTCGACAGCCTTATAGACAAACGGGTCGGTCCGTATGGTTGCGGTTGGGTTGCGGAGGGTTTGGGTTGCGGAGAGTTGTGAGATTATGGTTTTCTAACACCTACTCCCGTGTAATGGAAATCATTATGAACATCAGCTATGCTAATTATTTCCCATCTGCCTTTCTGCTGTTATCTCGGGACGCTTGTCCCGAGAAAAATGGCGTTCGTAGGCTCCAGTTTGGTATCCTGCCTCTCACGGGGATTTCGGATGCCTCAACGCCTGTGATGAGAAGACCAACGCCTGTGAAGAGACGACTCAACGCCTGCGAAGAGACGACTCAACGCCGGCGATATGTTATCCCCTAAATATTACATGATTAACTAAATGTATTTTTTCCAGGTACTCTCTGATATGCACTTACTGTAAAGCTTCTTTAAAACCCTATGATTGTTAGCCAGAGGAGAACTGGCCCCTGACTAGCCTGGGTTCTCCCAAGGTTTTTTTCTCCATCCAATCTGATGGAGTTTTGGTTCCTTGCCACTGTCGCCTTGCTTTTGGCTTGCTTAGTTGGGGATATTTAATATTCAACAATATTATTGAACTGTGTTGTACTACTTTCATGTTATCACTGTGAAGCTGCTTTGATGCAATCTGTATTGTGAAAAGCGCTATATAAATAAATGTGACTTGACTTGACTTGACACATATACTAAAATTGGATCGATACAGAGAAGATTAGCATGGCCCCTGCGAAAGGATGACACGCAAATCCGTGAAGCGCTCCATATTTTTGCAGCTGTGATCAAGCCTGCTTCACTGGACTTGATTCATACCTTCCTGCCACTATTTATTTTCATTCTTGATCTCTTGTGTCAAGAACTGGTGCATCTCCAATGTCTATAGGGCACTCTCATTTTTCCAGCAAAGTGTGTCCACTCCCTTTCTTCAGCAGATGCCAACAGGGTTCGACCCCATACATATGCCTCAAATGAGGCTGTGTTTGTTGCTTGTTAAGGCAGCGCCTATGCTGAAAGTAGACCGATTCAGAGAAAAAAATCAAAGAATAAATCAAAGGAAAAAATCTGTGGAGTCCTTCACGGTTTGGTTTCTGTCGCGTGGCCGAGGGCCTCTGCCTAAAGGTCTCCAGAGGATTAACTCCTCCTGCTGCGATAGATCGTGTCCAGTTACATCGAGTGCATTGAACCTTGGCACAGACAGCAAAGCATTTTCCTGTTTTCCACTTTCCGCCAACTGATTTCTTTCTCGAAAACCTGGAGGACACAGCCCATTCAGAGCTTGTATTTTGGTACCATCGATAAGTCTGCCCACCCCATTCTTTCAGTAGATGGCTCGCTGGGCCCTACCACCTTGGTGATAGCTCGCTGGAACCCGAGGTGTACATATGCCTTGGGCGGGCCGCCAGGATCGTGCTTGCTAAGGCAGCACATATACTAAAATTGGATCGATACAGAGAAGATTAGCATGGCCCCTGCGAAAGGATGACACGCAAATCCGTGAAGCGCTCCATATTTTTGCAGCTGTGATCAAGCCTGCTTCACTGAACTTGATTCATACCTTCCTGCCACTATTTATTTTCATTCTTGATCTCTTGTGTCAAGAACTGGTGCATCTCCAATGTCTATAGGGCACTCTCATTTTTCCAGCAAAGTGTGTCCACTCCCTTTCTTCAGCAGATGCCAACAGGGTTCGACCCCATACATATGCCTCAAATGAGGCTGTGTTTGTTGCTTGTTAAGGCAGCGCCTATGCTGAAAGTAGACCGATTCAGAGAAAAAAATCAAAGAATAAATCAAAGGAAAAAATCTGTGGAGTCCTTCACGGTTTTGTTTCTGTCGCGTGGCCGAGGGCCTCTGCCTAAAGGTCTCCAGAGGATTAACTCATCCTGCTGCGATAGATCGTGTCCAGTTACATCGAGTGCATGGAACCTTGGCACAGACAGCAAAGCATTTTCCTGTTTTCCACTTTCCGCCAACTCATTTCTTTCTCGAAAACCTGGAGGACACAGCCCATTCAGAGCTTGTATTTTGGTACCATCGATAAGTCTGCCCACCCCATTCTTTCAGTAGATGGCTCGCTGGGCCCTACCACCTTGGTGATAGCTCGCTGGAACCCGAGGTGTACATATGCCTTGGGCGGGCCGCCAGGATCGTGCTTGCTAAGGCAGCACATATACTAAAATTGGATTGATACAGAGAAGATTAGCATGGCCCCTGCGAAAGGATGACACGCAAATCCGTGAAGCGCTCCATATTTTTGCAGCTGTGATCAAGCCTGCTTCACTGGATTCTGGATTCTTGATCTCTTGTGTCAAGAACTGGTGCATCTCCAATGTCTATAGGGCACTCTCATTTTTCCAGCAAAGTGTGTCCACTCCCTTTCTTCAGCAGATGCCGACAGGGAACAGGGTTCGAACCCATACATATGCCTCAAATGAGGCTGTGTTTGTTGCTTGTTAAGGCAGCGCCTATGCTGAAAGTAGACCGATTCAGAGAAAAAAATCAAAGAATAAATCAAAGGAAAAAATCTGTGGAGTCCTTCACGGTTTTGTTTCTGTCGCGTGGCCGAGGGCCTCTGCCTAAAGGTCTCCAGAGGATTAACTCCTCCTGCTGCGATAGATCGTGTCCAGTTACATCGAGTGCATTGAACCTTGGCACAGACAGCAAACCATTTTCCTGTTTTCCACTTTCCGCCAACTCATTTCTTTCTCGAAAACCTGGAGGACACAGCCCATTCAGAGCTTGTATTTTGGTACGATCGATAAGTCTGCCCACCCCATTCTTTCAGTAGATGGCTCGCTGGGCCCTACCACCTTGGTGATAGCTTGCTGAAACCCGAGGTGTACATATGCCTTGGGCGGGCCGCCAGGATCGTGCTTGCTAAGGCAGCACATATACTAAAATTGGATCGATACAGAGAAGATTAGCATGGCCCCTGCGAAAGGATGACACGTAAATCCGTGAAGCGCTCCATATTTTTGCAGCTGTGATCAAGCCTGCTTCACTGGACTTGATTCATACCTTCCTGCCACTATTTATTTTCATTCTTGATCTCTTGTGTCAAGAACTGGTGCATCTCCAATGTCTATAGGGCACTCTCATTTTTCCAGCAAAGTGTGTCCACTCCCTTTCTTCAGCAGATGCCGACAGGGAACAGGGTTCGACCCCATACATATGCCTCAAATGAGGCTGTGTTTGTTGCTTGTTAAGGCAGCGCCTATGCTGAAAGTAGACCGATTCAGAGAAAAAAATCAAAGAATAAATCAAAGGAAAAAATCTGTGGAGTCCTTCACGGTTTTGTTTCTCCCTAAAGGTCTCCAGAGGATTAACTCCTCCTGCTGCGATAGATCGTGTCCAGTTACATCGAGTGCATGGAACCTTGGCACAGACAGCAAAGCATTTTCCTGTTTTCCACTTTCCGCCAACTCATTTCTTTCTCGAAAACCTGGAGGACACAGCCCATTCAGAGCTTGTATTTTGGTACCATCGATAAGTCTGCCCACCCCATTCTTTCAGTAGATGGCTCGCTGGGCCCTACCACCTTGGTGATAGCTCGCTGGAACCCGAGGTGTACATATGCCTTGGGCAGGCCGCCAGGATCGTGCTTGCTAAGGCAGCACATATACTAAAATTGGATCGATACAGAGAAGATTAGCATGGCCCCTGCGAAAGGATGACACGCAAATCCGTGAAGCGCTCCATATTTTTGCAGCTGTGATCAAGCCTGCTTCACTGGATTCTGGATTCTTGATCTCTTGTGTCAAGAACTGGTGCATCTCCAATGTCTATAGGGCACTCTCATTTTTCCAGCAAAGTGTGTCCACTCCCTTTCTTCAGCAGATGCCGACAGGGAACAGGGTTCGACCCCATACATATGCCTCAAATGAGGCTGTGTTTGTTGCTTGTTAAGGCAGCGCCTATGCTGAAAGTAGACCGATTCAGAGAAAAAAATCAAAGAATAAATCAAAGGAAAAAATCTGTGGAGTCCTTCACGGTTTTGTTTCTGTCGCGTGGCCGAGGGCCTCTGCCTAAAGGTCTCCAGAGGATTAACTCCTCCTGCTGCGATAGATCGTGTCCAGTTACATCGAGTGCATTGAACCTTGGCACAGACAGCAAAGCATTTTCCTGTTTTCCACTTTCCGCCAACTCATTTCTTTCTCGAAAACCTGGAGGACACAGCCCATTCAGAGCTTGTATTTTGGTACCATCGATAAGTCTGCCCACCCCATTCTTTCAGTAGATGGCTCGCTGGGCCCTACCACCTTGGTGATAGCTTGCTGGAACCCGAGGTGTACATATGCCTTGGGCGGGCCACCAGGATCGTGCTTGCTAAGGCAGCACATATACTAAAATTGGATCGATACAGAGAAGATTAGCATGGCCCCTGCGAAAGGATGACACGCAAATCCGTGAAGCGCTCCATATTTTTGCAGCTGTGATCAAGCCTGCTTCACTGGACTTGATTCATACCTTCCTGCCACTATTTATTTTCATTCTTGATCTCTTGTGTCAAGAACTGGTGCATCTCCAATGTCTATAGGGCACTCTCATTTTTCCAGTAAAGTGTGTCCACTCCCTTTCTTCAGCAGATGCCAACAGGGTTCGACCCCATACATATGCCTCAAATGAGGCTGTGTTTGTTGCTTGTTAAGGCAGCGCCTATGCTGAAAGTAGACCGATTCAGAGAAAAAAATCAAAGAATAAATCAAAGGAAAAAATCTGTGGAGTCCTTCACGGTTTTGTTTCTGTCGCGTGGCCGAGGGCCTCTGCCTAAAGGTCTCCAGAGGATTAACTCCTCCTGCTGCGATAGATCGTGTCCAGTTACATCGAGTGCATGGAACCTTGGCACAGACAGCAAAGCATTTTCCTGTTTTCCACTTTCCGCCAACTCATTTCTTTCTCGAAAACCTGGAGGACACAGCCCATTCAGAGCTTGTATTTTGGTACGATCGATAAGTCTGCCCACCCCATTCTTTCAGTAGATGGCTCGCTGGGCCCTACCACCTTGGTGATAGCTTGCTGAAACCCGAGGTGTACATATGCCTTGGGCGGGCTGCCAGGATCGTGCTTGCTAAGGCAGCACATATACTAAAATTGGATCGATACAGAGAAGATTAGCATGGCCCCTGCGAAAGGATGACACGTAAATCCGTGAAGCGCTCCATATTTTTGCAGCTGTGATCAAGCCTGCTTCACTGGACTTGATTCATACCTTCCTGCCACTATTTATTTTCATTCTTGATCTCTTGTGTCAAGAACTGGTGCATCTCCAATGTCTATAGGGCACTCTCATTTTTCCAGCAAAGTGTGTCCACTCCCTTTCTTCAGCAGATGCCGACAGGGAACAGGGTTCGACCCCATACATATGCCTCAAATGAGGCTGTGTTTGTTGCTTGTTAAGGCAGCGCCTATGCTGAAAGTAGACCGATTCAGAGAAAAAAATCAAAGAATAAATCAAAGGAAAAAATCTGTGGAGTCCTTCACGGTTTTGTTTCTCCCTAAAGGTCTCCAGAGGATTAACTCCTCCTGCTGCGATAGATCGTGTCCAGTTACATCGAGTGCATGGAACCTTGGCGCGACAGCAAAGCATTTTCCTGTTTTCCACTTTCCGCCAACTCATTTCTTTCTCGAAAACCTGGAGGACACAGCCCATTCAGAGCTTGTATTTTGGTACCATCGATAAGTCTGCCCACCCCATTCTTTCAGTAGATGGCTCGCTGGGCCCTACCACCTTGGTGATAGCTCGCTGGAACCCGAGGTGTACATATGCCTTGG